GGTGGAAGGGCTGTACAAGAGTCGTGAGTGTTGATTGATTATACATTTATTATAGAATTTATTACATAATTTACATAAGGGTGGTTTTGAATCTTCTTGAATCTAATGTGAAGATACGCTTATTGAACGGCTTCTTGTATAGGAGGTGTCACTATACAAGATGCTCTTGAAATCGTTTAATTATGATGTTGTGCTGATCATTGCCATCGGCGAGCAAGAATAATGAGGTCGCGCGGACAGTGATGCAGTATCTTGATCTGATTCTGGGTTGAGTAATTTACGACAAAGCACGCGGCAAAGCACTAGCGTACGTGGTCGTCCGCTCCTCTAGTAGGTGAAGTGATGATAACATCAAGTTGACCACAAAAACACGCGGCAAACACAAACGTGCGTGATCGTCCTTCCCGTCGGCGATTGAATACTAAGGTTGATGTATCTTCTTCTGGCCAATGGATCTCCGCAAGTACTTGGTCACTAGTTTACCAATTCGTACGGGTGCGTAAAGTTCTCTGCTGACCTGGCTGGCTTCTCTTCCGGATAGCCCTTTTCTCTTGCCTTTTCTTACGAAACAGTATTTGGCTTTCCACGCGGCTGCGTATTCGAATAATCCCTCGCGAACAGCGACTTTTCGCTGTCTTGTTCCCATCTTTAATGCCTCTTGCCATGAGTCCCCACTCAAGGAGCTTCTGGTCTTAGTTTTCCAATCAGGGCGCACCGCTTTTCGGCGGAATGATGAATGTGCACGCCCTTTTCCCACATCATAAGAAATTAGGCTTGGACAATGAGAATATCGAAGGAGTATCTTTGGCGGCAATGCGTGAAGTGGAAGATTTGCCCCTCTCCGGGACTCATCGTGGTGGGAGTGATTTTTTGTCAAGCGTCTTCGCTTGGCCTATGCAAGCAAGCAACATTTGTCGTACTTGACAACAATGCATGCGTATGACCCTCGTGGCATTGAAGGCACACGCGCGACAAAGATTGTCGAGCGTCGCGCGTGCCGAGTTTCGGGTTGCAACGGATTTTAAGAAATGTTTTTCATTCAATTGTTTTGAAATATTTTAATCCTCAAAATACACTCTTGTAAACAAGCTAGCCGGGTTTTGATGGTAAGTCGCAAGGGTCGTTCATTGCATTCAAAACAATTACTACGTCTGTAGTACGAAAGGCAATAAAGTGGCTGTTTACGAGTATGTTCCAGATATACTAACCTTTTCGAGCCTTCAGTAACCTTGGCGAGACTTTCTTAGATTTTTATGTACGTTCGATAATACTTTTTATAATAGCCGTTGAAATTTTCCTAATGAATACAATTCGAGAGATTTTCGTTTCACTCTCGAACAAATGCGCACAAACAATTGTATGCATCCACCATATGTATGTTATGACCTCGGTAAATATTTCCAAACTGCAGCTTCGTTATAACCGTAATTCTCACGGCAAACATTTTTCGGTAAACGATATGTTCGCCGATGCACGAGCCTTCGGCGTAAAGTATCTGACAATCCATGACGTCCAGGATCAGCTACGTAAATCTCAGTTAGTGGATTTTCGGTATTACTTACATACTTTTCGAGCCAATCTTCTAGCCTAGTAGCAATTATTTCGTCATACAACAAATCGCCAATGAGTACGAAATCAAAATTCTCCGGAAGCTCACGACCTATTAAATCATTAGTGCTTGTCCGAATTTTCACACCATTCAGCTTTGCATTTTTGATCGCTGCTACGCATGCCACTGAAATATTGAACATTAAAAAATCATTTCACTCATCTTAACAACATTTAATTTCAACAAAACAAATATTTATATCAAATAAATTATTATAAATGTTCATTTTAATTTTTTCGAAATAATTGAATTTAAAATATATTTTATTCTATAACTAAATAAACTTTTTTACTTTTATATAAAATACATCATAATTTTTTATAAATATATTTCTTTCAGGCGTATTTATTAAAAGTATTTAAAAATTTCTTTTATTATAATTATTAATAAATACATTATATATCAAATAAAACAGTTATTACCCTTGTAAACTTTCAATTTGTTTACAGTATTAAATATTATAAGTTGAAAAAAATAATGAAGTGATATATTAAATTATAACAAGATAATAAAAAAATAATGTAGCAACTATATTCAGTTTCATTTTATAGAAAATTTAATTTATAGAGAAATATCGAGAAATTAAGTTCTACAAAATATACTTTGAAACGAATAATAATAATTTTTCAATGTTTTAAATTTTAATCAAATGTAAAAAAAATATTTATGAACTTACTCCTTATTTCACAACCATTTATAATATTACCAAAATTATGTTTAAAAATATTGGTAAATTAGAATAATTTACTCATTTACTTTACTTTCAAGTACGATTTATCTTTCATTTATTTAGATAATCTTTTAGACATTGTAATATATTTCGATTATTTAGACAATAATATCCAAATCTGAATGGCTTTCTGTTAAATGAGACTATAAATTATAATTACGAACTACAAATTAGTTAAATTTAAAAATTATGTTTATATTTACACAATTATAAATTCTGTTTAATTATTTTCACAGTAATTCATAACACAAGAACATTTTCTAAAACATCCCATAACTATTAAACATATCATAAGAATTTAATAAAGTTGATAAAAGCTTTTTATAGATCTAATATTTGAGCATTAAAAAATCTTCTCTTTGACATACAGAAATAATTATTTACCATCATATCAATCTAATAATAAATATGATTAAGAAGTCTTTCAAATCAATCATTTGAAATAAGAATTTTTTTTAATAAGAATGACTACAAATCATTATTATACGATCTTAGTTGAATAATTAAACATCTGTGTGTATTCTGAGAAAAAATTTCATTGCGTTGATTGCGCTAATTTTATTAACATTTTTGCACTCCACTAATTAATCTTTCACGATTTAAGTGAGTGAAATATACTTAATTATACTTAATGAAAGTTTCCGTATATACAAGTTTTATACTTATTTTTAAATGTATCTTTACAAATGTGTATACATGACGTGAAAAGTATTTCCCAATTAAAGTAATAATATTCTCAAACCTAAAGATGCTTAAAAAAATCATAATATACCGTCCACGGAAATAAATTATTGAAAATTCTGTGTCATGGCATACTTATTTAAATACAAAAGCTTGAATTCTCTTTTCAGAATAATTAGATATTAGATTTAGTCAAACATTTTATATGTACAGCATATGTAACCAACAAATTTTCAGTACTTATTTTGGTTTAAAAAAAAATAATTATTAAAATATATATAAAAAATACATTAATTACAAATAATCTATAGAAGCTTTTGATCTTTAAAAATACAATTATTATTAATTTTCTATATCACTAAATTAATAATATTAAATTAAAATGAAAAATTTATTCGATATTTTGTAATTTTATATATTTGATATTCCTCATTCTTTGCACAAAGTATTTCTTGATTAGATAATTTTTAACATAATTTGTGATACAATACTTATGTAATTTTGAAAATTCGAGAATAAAATAATTAAATATATTGTTAAATTAAATTAAAAAATCAAACATTGATATTGTCTGATATGATACTGTAAGCAATATTATTAACAAGTCACAAATAGACAAATATATTTTATATAAAATTAAAAACAAATAATAATTGGTATTTAAACCAAAACAAGTTTAATTTGAATAACGAGAATTAGTCGTTTTTTCGATTAAACAATGCTTGCATTATACAATTATATTACATTAATTTATTAATTTTGTATTTTAATTATTTACTTGTGTGTCAATTAAATAAACTATTATATCATTTTCATAACCGTGTAATAAATGCAAATTTATTTGCATTGTCTGATACCCTGAGTACTACCGCGTCCATAAGCAAAACAAAAACCTACATTTGTATACAATTGTCTAACTGAAGCGCTGAAGGAAATTACCATAGGTTTGCAGTCCATGACCTAGATGTAAAAAAAAATTACTGAAATATAATTAGTTCCAGTATTATTAAGATTTAATGGTTTCAACACTTATATATTTCTATATAAAAAAAAAAGATATTAGTTTAAAATTATGTTATTAATTATTATTAAATTTATTGATCAATTACATAAAGATTCATTTGATTTATCTAACATAATATCTAGTAATTTTATAGATATGAATAATAATGAAAATACATAAGCATTAAAAAACACAGTAGAAGAAAGAAAATACATATTATATTGTTTAAAAGTAACGTATTATAGAAAAACCTATATGATAAATGTTTATATGCCAAACAATGATATTTACTAATTCATAGTTTATATTTCTATTTTGTTTATTTATGTTTGTATAGAATTTAATTTAAGTTGTAAAAGTTATTAGGAATATTAAAAAATCTGCATCCACTTATGTCTCAATTTCAGGTTTCATTGCATGTATATTACTATAATGCAAAGGTTTTCATTGTAAGGCATAATCTTGTATGTATATATTTGTAATATAAATAATATCCGAGTAAAATTTATGAAAATAATACTAAATTAGATTTGATAAACGATATCAAATTTTTCATATTCTCAATCGTTTTTAGGTAATTTAGTTCAGTATTACGGTCATTCGAATAATTTAGATTTTCAAATGTATTATACATAAAACTATGCATAATATACATGTATATGTGTTATGAAATATACTAAAACTTCGGGGATAAATTCGCAAATTTTATTCAATGTACCAATGTATTTTTTATCAATTTTACTTTACAAGGTCGAATCCTAACCCAGTTTCCGTATACGCAGTTTGGCTTGTACTAAACATTATTGCATCGTTGGTTTTCGATACTTTTTTCTCTTTATATTCGTTTCATCGAGGTTCAAGAGAAAATTTATTTTTGAACTAGCTTAAGCTCAATTTCCATTTATACAATTTTTACGTTATCATACGAATTTCTTTTGAATCGATTCTACGTTTTTGAGTGCACATTGAAATTGTGAACAAATTTTTATTTGTCAATATCTGTACAGATTTCAGGCCGTTGAATTACAAATATATTCATCTATCGAATGAAATAAATGGAAATACCTTCAAATGAGAGATTTTTAAAATGATTATTAATATAAAAATTTCCAATTTAGTTATTAATTTCATATATTCTTCAATAATTTTAAAAGTTATGAATATTTATACATATTTTTTTAATATATTACTTATTACGACTAATTTTTAATGTATTTATCATTAATAACCTTATTTATTTAAATTATAAGTTAATATTTACTTATTGTAAATACACTTATTCATTAGTATTTCATTAATATTTTTAGCGATGACTTTAATTTAATATATAACTTAGTTATTTCTTTCATTAAAAACGATGTTCGAATTCATTTAATTTTTTAATATATTTAGTAAACAAATTAATTTTTTTACAGTATTTTAAAAAACTATATAATTATATTTACGATATTTATAATAATTTAGATGTCGATATAAGCTACTAAAATATAATTGTATGCTTAGTATCTTTTAGATTCTTAATCTTTAGAATTCCAAAATCAAGAAAAATTTATGCTTAAATATTATATTATTGATAATTCATGAATCCTTGATAAAAGTACTTTTTTATATTACATTATAAATTTTATTTCATTAATTTAATTTAACAGCGCGTATTAATTTTATCTTAATCAAAATCCAAAGTTTTAGCTATACGTGGTATAATGATTTCAGTTTATCATGATATATACCGTAGTACAAGCTATGTATCATAATAACAAGCACATAAAATGATTCAATATAATGTAAACCTTCGGCATATATTCCAGTGAATATAATTATTTTAATTATATCATTCAAACATTGTTCTATTTTATTAAGGTATTTAATAATATCCTAGTAAAGGTATACTTTCTACAATTTTAAATTGATGTTATTCTATTTTCTGGATTCTAAGTTTTTCGTTCACTGGATTTGATGATGTCCCAAAGATACACGTTCTTGATCTATTATCTTCTCATACTATTAAGATTCATTCAATACAGCATAGATTTTTCATTATTACTTGAAAGATATACTTGTTTAATGTATATAGAATAAAGTAATACATAGTTATAGATAGTTATATATTTTATAATTACATTCTTATAGACGTACTGGACAAATATTCATATATCCTATCACTTCTCTTTCGAAAGATGCCTACAAACTAGAAAACATATAACTAAGTTGTCCCATTGCGTTAAAAGCTTAATAACTTCTCTATTAAAAATTATTTTTAAATTTTTAATGTGCACTTTATTTTTAACTCTCATTAGATTATCTATTAAAATTGTGATAAAATATTTATACAAAAAATAATTTTAATTGTATCTTATACTGAATAAAATATTTTTAGTTTTAAGATATAAATTAAATTTGTATTTTTGTACTAAATTATCTATTTATTACCGAGCTACTACAATTCCAAAGAGATGATGAAATATTTGTTTTTATGTTAAATTTACCCTCCAAACTGAAAATCTGTGTATATGAATTTAGTAGATATTATTCTTTGTATTCAAATGATTAAAATAGATAACTAATAACTTGCAATTTAAATTCAATAGGCCTTTTGTATAAAAGAAATCGAAAATCCTCTAAATTATTATTATAAGCTCTATATAGAATTATGACGAACTTCTTATATTCAAATGATATTAGATAATTTATACGGAAAATAAATTCCACGCGGTATATAATTGTGAGCATAAGTGCAACAAAATGTAAAACACACATTGAAAATTAACATATAATTATTTATAGATATTTTTAATGCCTATGCATGATCACAATATTGTGTTTTATACAATGAATGTGTTTCTATATTAATAATTGCATAGCAGCATATAGAAATATGATAGCACTTTATGAAAATATGGAAGTAAATCATTTCTGAAATTTGTCTATATATAACAAAGACAAATTAGATTAAAAAAACATATAAAAAATTAAAAATATAATTAGTTTTAAATTAAATATATAAACATAATAATTAGAAAAAAAAAATTATATTTGTATCTATTTCATAATATAGATAATTATGAATATTAAACCTTACATATAATGTGAATAGAAATATATTTTATACATATAATTATTCCATTTTATGAAAAGCTTTGATTATTTGTTCAATCATAATATATAATTTTATATAATTTTAATAATGATAATAATATATACTTCTTTCATTGGCAACGTATTTAAAGCAATTATTTGTACGATAAATAAACGACATATATATATATCAATAAAAACAGAATTTTTCTATAAAAAAATGAATATTAAAAATTGGTCTCAATTATTAAATATTGGAAAATATTTTAGAAAGACTGAAAGTACGCCACATGCGTCAAAAATATATAGATGTATAAATAAATTTTAATATTGAACAATAATTTTTTAATTAAATTCAGTTCCATCGTATATAATAGCAAATACCTAACTCTATCTCAGTGCTGACATTCCAAAATCAAATTCTGAACGTAGTTTACAATATATGGAAATCTCATATTCAATAATTCATTTAACACAATTACGAAATAATAAATGAATAATTTTTCTTTAAAAAAAGTTCATGTTATAAATAAATATATAAACAAAATTTATTTTATAACAAAAAAATATTTATATGCCTAATACAAATTCTTATATAAAAATTTCTTTTTATAAATATATTTTTATTAATGCAAAGTTTTTAAAAATAACAAACATTTTTTTTTCTATAATGTTCTAATGTTTTCAATTTAACAAATACTTGTTAAACTATGTAATAATGAAATTGTATAAAATTTCTACTATACGTCTATATTAATTAAATTAAAAAATATAATAAATTTTATTACATAAGTGAATCAATTTGTGATATAATTATTAATATTTCAATTCAAAAGTTTATCTCCGATTCCATTTATAATATCTAATTAGTCTAAACTGTTTTCATACTTATAATTAATTTGTATAATTAAAATTTTATTATAAATTTGTTAAGCATACTCTCTTAGCATTAAAATTTATCTACAATTTTTATATTAACTCTTGCAAAATCAAGTTGTAACACCGATCATAGATAAAAATTTAAGGCATATTAATCTGTACGTCATTGTTAGTTCAAAAGATTTAGTTTTATAGAACTAATGACATTGTTTGAATAAATAAATTAATTTATATTTTAAAAATATAGAAAAATGGTACATATAATAAAAACAATTTTTTCACTCATTTATTTTTACTTTCATTTGATACATTTTTAATAGTGGATAATATTAAAATAAATTTCGTAAAACAAAGATTTTATTTATATTGTGGTGTAACTTTTTAAAATATTATAATAAAAAAATAATTTAAATTTCTTGAATTGCTAACAAAACCGATTTATAAAATAAAGTGTCCGCTAATCAATACTTTAAACATAAATAATAATAAGTAGATAGAATCAATATTTACACATTAAATTATATTAAGAATGATATAAAGGAATAAATCCAATAAATAACAAAAATAAAAAAAATATAAAAAAAAACAAAAGCACTTATTATTATTGTTACATTTTAATATATATATATATATATAAATTTAAAAGTAAAGAAAGTAAGATTCCAAAAATATTTAATAAATATTTCAAATACAGAATGCTTCTTTGATAAATATACATTTTTATAATTTCTCTTGCTCTAAGTATTTATTAATTTATATTCTATAATAAATTTCATATATAAATATCTATTTAAAAAATCTCGTTAAACATATAATCAAAACTTGATAATGAAATATGGACAGAATTATAAAATTATTTTGTAAAATTTAAATATCAGTAAATAAAGATCAAATATTCAGTAAATATTTCTCTAATAATAATATAAAGACATATTCTGTATAAAGTACTAACTCGTTGATTCTATGTAAATAAAGAAATTAATGTAACTTCAATCTCTTCCAATGCAACCTACTTTTCAAATTGATTACGAGTTCATAGTTTCTTCTCAATCGATAACTTTCTTTGAAGTAACTTAGATTTCAGTTTAAATTACAGTTTCACTTCATTAAAAAAAAGAAAAAAAAGATTTTCCCGTTAACTTCTACATTGATCGCTTATATATATTCTAATTTCATTAGCGTCCAATGGAATTCAACTTTTGGATTGATTCCAATCCAAGTTTTCTATCATTTGCCCCAATCTAGATAGAAATTTGAGTGGTCGTTTCTGTACTCGGCATTTAGGTAAGATATTTTCAAACTTTTTGAATACTTAAAAAAATATACCATTAACACTCCTATGATCCCTTTGTAATTTATTCGAATTTTATTTAGCGTCTATTTTATGCAAAATAAAGTTTGTGAATGTTTTTCTAGGAAGTTGCTTGAAATTTTGAATAATATATTACAGGCAAAAATTTTCTAATGAATTTGTAAAACTTTTACAACTTTCTACAGTAAAATATCAAAAAGTTGTATATAATTTGGTTAATTATAATAAAATAAATGAAATAACTTTAATTATTATTAGAATTTCTTTATTCTTGAATATTTTTGCAAAAATTTAAATAAAAACTAATTTTTGTAATTCAGTAATTTGCATACGTAATTATTGATAATAATTGATAATAATAATTGATAATAATTGATAATTATGTTCATTGAATATAATCATCAAAATTATTAATGATATAGATTAATAGGAACTTTTAATGTCCAAAATAATATTACGTTTGAAATCATAAGCAACTCCATGAGTCAACTAAAAATTTCATTATTTGAATCGTTAAACTCTTCGAGCAGTGTTATAGGTTATAACTAAGGCATTTATTACAATAAAATGATATTCATTAAGCTTAAATCTCACTATTATATTTAAAAGCGTTTATTTAGATGTATGCATATTTGTTTTTCAGTTTATTTTTATATGTAGATATTCTTTATGTATAAAATATATAAACATAAAATAAACATAAATGTTAACATTTTATTTTCTATTTATATCATGTATTATGTGTGAATGTTTATGTGTATGTGTGTGTGATGTTTGAACAAACTAAAATAAATATATATTTCATATATTATAGCAGAATGTATAATCTCTGTTAACGGAAATTTTAATCTTCTGAATAAAAATACATGAAAATTTTATTACTTAAATATATACTGAATACACTTTATTTTTCAACAATAATAGAATAGTTAATTAAATTATGTTTCTATTCATGATAATTGTAAAAATGAATAGGAATAAATAAATATTTATTGTTTAATTAGTCTATATATATATATATATATATATATATAAATCTATTTATTTATCTATATATTTATTTATTTATATACATATAGATTTGGACATATCTTGTTGAAAATGTATATACTATGCTATAAATTAATCAAAATCTTATGAACGAAAAATTAATTGGCAATTATTGATAAATAAATAATGTAAAAGATACAAAAAAAGTATAACCTGACTTTATAAAAAATGTATGAATATAAATGAACTCTAATGTATAGGAATAATTATATTTTTTATAAAATACATAATTTGTAATAAAAAGCAGTGTAAAGCTTTTAAAGTTTCAGATATAAAAGCAAGATTGTACCTGTTATATAACCTAAAATCAATATTTAATTTAGTTTTAAACATAATATGGAAGTACGATATTGTATCAATGAAGAATTTTCAAATTTATGAAAATAAGAAATTATACGCCAACTGTATGATAAAAATTACTTTAGAGATAAAAGGTATTAGATAATTATTGCTACAAAAAGAGATGAAAACAAGAAATTCTTTGCAACTACATTCAATGTAGATATTTTTCAACCGTAGGCGACCATTTTGTGTAAATAATATTTGCTGCATCTAATAAGCTATAAATCCAACCATGGATTATTATTTATCTGATACAAATAACAATACAATTTAATAAAGTGTGAAAAGTTGCTAAGTCGGTTGAATTAAAAAAATTCAAATGTCTTCAAAATGTGAAGAGGAGGATTATTTATATACCATTAGATATATACACACACAAATATATATATATATATATATATATATATATATATATATATATATATATATATATATATAGCATATATACAAATAGCTTTATAAACATCAAAAAATTTACCTTCATATATATGCATTGTTGGATGATAATTATAAAATCGTAATAATTAATAGTAATTATAAGTTCAGAAGGCTCTATGAAATTGCAATAAATTAGAAATCACCTTTGTCGATGTCATTGGCCAGTACGTCATCGGCACCAGCAATTTTAGCGGCGATAGCTGCAGCCCCACAGCCAGCACCAACGTCTAGTACTTTTGCTGCTGACAGGCCGCGTAGAAATCGCGAACCTTCGTCAAGAATGTAACGTGCTAAAACTTGACCACCGGGCCAATAAATTGACCAGAACGGCTCTCTAAAGTACCGTGGTATTTGAGTTTCTCTGGCTGTATAGAGTGGACAGTCAGGAGTAAGTAGATGTAGTTGCAACTCAGGTGTTAGATGTTCTCGACTAATCTTTGTATGACGCTCGATTTCATTTTCAATGCACAATTTTTCAAGATATCTGCCAACTCTTCTCTGGAACATCCGATGTTGTAACTGCATTTTGGACTGCACAATTCACATAACATTGAATAATCTAAAACGATTCAGTTCGTGTTCACTCTATACTTGAATTTATATTATTACTTATATTATATGCTTATTAATTTGTTATCATATATGAAAATAAAATGTAGAATAAAAATCTAACAATAGTAAAAAAAAAAATAAGAAAAAAACAAGAAGAGCAACAACAATAATAATAATTACTATCAATGCTATTAAAATTACAATAAAAACAATATATTTCCACATATATTTGTAACCCACGTGGTATATTAAACACGTCTAGTATAATCTATGTCAAAATAACATGATTTTCAACGCGTGTGTACTAAATAATTAAAATATTTATAAGAATTTATCAGCTATTTGTTATTGCTGGTAACTTAATTATATTTCAAACATCCACTTAATAGAAATTGATTCAGCTATTTATATTTTACTATTATTATTAGATAAATAATAGTTTGTATAATATATTTATATTGTAGATGTAACTATTATTATACAAAATGACAATAGAATGGGAAACAAAATTTCTAAATATTTTTTATATTATGTTTTTGTTGAATAATATAAAAGCAGCAGATTGAATATTATAATTTTATAACCATTAAAATCTAAAAAATTTTAACATCTTTTATTACATAAATAGCTTATCTATATTTTTTTATATATTTTATTATTTTATCCATTATATTGCTGTAAAGAACTATATTTTAAATTTCAATCTTTGAAGTTGGCAAATTAAAACTATAAAATTCATTGTTTTTGATTCTAATTTTGAAAGAAAAATAATAGAAAAATTTACTTATATACTAAAAATATCACATTTAATGAGCAATCTGAAAATTTTTCCTTTAATATCTATTATTTATATACATTAGAACAGTAAATAAGTAACATTAAATATTTTGATCACTTCAAAAAAGTATTCGTGTATAAAGGTAAAAGATAGAAAGAGCGTGAGAGAGAAAAGAGAAGAGAAAGAGAGAGAGAGAGAGAGAGAGAGAGAGAGAAAAGAGAAAGTGACCCCGGAGGAGAGGGAAGATATAATATGAAATGAGAAAATAGATGTATCTCACACCATAATGCAATAAAAGATAAAGAAAGTTGTAGTGACTGCAAGAACAAAATTATGTGCCTTTGGCTACTTATGTACTCTTTCGTCTTTTCTTTGCGAATTTCTTTCTCATCTTGGTTTCTTGAATTGTCAAAGGATTTTTATTCTTTCTTCGCTTCTTTTTTTTTTATTTAATTCCTAGCACTCTCAGACATAAAAAATGATTAAATCCTCTTTTTTAACTTTAATATCTCTTTATTCTCTTTAAAAGATAAATTTGATTTAAACCTTTTTATTTACAACTTTTTTTGCTTTTAATAAGTCAGTAAACAGTAGGGTACATGATAACACTAATTGATATTGATTTGTAAATCTTTACGAAGATATCAGACTAAAATAAGATAAATCAATTTTCCAATTCCAAGCTAGGTTCTAAAAATCGAGTCACTAATAATAAATATTTCATTAATAAATTATATATAATTGTATACGAAAAATATATAAAGTAAATAATAAATATAAGATGGTGAATTATACTTAGCTCAAAGAACAATACAGGAAATTTACTAGTACCATAGCATATTTGATAATATGTATATATATATATATATATATATATATATATATATACATAAATTCTCATAAATTTCAAATATAATGTATGCACATATGCATGCAGGCACATATGCCTATAAACGTACATATATATATATATATATATATATATATATATATATATATGAGTAGCAAAAGTTTTAATATTAAATTTAAATACTATCATTATTTGATTGCCTATGGTTTTCATTTATTTTGTGAAATTTCTATTAAATACAGTTCATCTTTATTCGCTATTTCAATAACTATTGTAGTAATTATAACACTTTGAATATATTACACAGTTTTAGATATAAAATAAGAATTATATAATTTATATTATGTAGTATAATTTCGTTTTACTACTTGACATGCAGCTATAATTAAATTGGTTATTCAGTAAATTATTAGAATTTTTAAAAAGATATATCTCAAATTATTATTATTATAAAATTAGAAGTTTTAATATAGTAACTTGAACGCTGACATGCTTAAATTATACAATTTGAAGCTGTCAATCATTTTACTAAACTTTATGAAGCAATAAAATTAAATGTAACTATTTCTTGAATTCTAAAATCGATAGTAACGTGTAACTCTTGATTTTCATAATTTTTTTCTTATAAATATTTCATAATTGTCTGATGCATATTATTTTAAACTTATTTTAGAATTAACCTTTTTTCTTAGAAGTTAAATTCAGTTTTTAAACCTTCGAGCAACATAATTGAATAAATTGAAATTAAATTGAATATTTACAGAAAATAATAGATTTACAAATAAATACCGTTGTAATCATTATAGTACGTTCTAAATAGACTTCAATTTCACATATAAAATTTTTTTTTGAATTTTTAAAATATTTATAAAATATATAGGATTCATAATAAACATTATTACTTAGATCTAAGTTATTTAAATGTCAATCCATTAATCTCTGAAGTTTAAATAATTTAATTTTAACAATTCAATAAATGAAATAATACTTCTTTTGATAATATTTATTATATAAAGTGTTCCATACAAAATAAAAGCAATATAGAAATTCTATAATATATAATACATATACAAAATTAAATCTGTATTTCATAGACACTGAAAATAATAAAAATATATAATTAAAACAGCTATTTATGAAACTTCGATATGACAAAACTTTTCTAAATAATAAAAAGTCAATTAATATCAATTTTCATTATCTTACACTAATTACATAAAATAATAAAACAATTTCTTGCATTAACCGGTTTTTTTGCACAATTTAATGTACAATTTATGCGCAATTTTATGGCAGATACGATTAGTTACTACTAATATTGGATAACTTGGATAATAATAATTAATAGATTTCTGTATTAATAATTAATAATAAATTAATAAGTTAATTGTACTAAAGAGTCCATGTATAGATAAAATATTGGCTTCTTTAAGTTTAATATTATTATATTGCATTAAATTATTATTGTAATTTTGAAATTTCAATTATTCAATTAAATCACAAATTAATTGATTATATACATTTTATAATAAAAGCAAAGCATACATTTATTTTATTTAATTATTATTTTTGGGAAAGTTCATAATTGATTTTATATCTATACGTTACAAATAAATAAAAGTTTAATCCATTAAAAAAAAACGAATTAAAATTGTAAAATATCCCCTTCAAATAATACTCATATCTACATTTATAATTTTATAAAATGCCTTAAATCTCATAATAAAAAAAAAAAAAAACAAAATTGAAAATGCAATAAAATATTTATCTATTAATATATGCTTTAACAAAACTTTTACTAATATTATGCAAGATTACATGATATAATGTCACCTATATCTGTTTCTTCATTCCAGTTATGATAAAGATCTACCGTAGCATGGAAGTCACTCGAAAAGCAAATTCAACGTTAGAGAAACTTCAAGTGAGATCAAACTTAGCAACGTGCGAAATTTATAGTTTTGCAAATAACTTCTTTTGCAATAAATACGATTAACGATAACTATAATAAGATTATTGCAGTTAATGTTTCAAGTAATACTATGCTATTGCAGTAAGTCTAGGTTTCAATTGATTATCGATGCACTTAGAATATGCAACATATGCAGCCATATACAACAAAATCTGATATCGAAATTTTATAGACTGTGTTAGAGGCAAAATACATAGACCAACTGCTGTATAAATTTTTCTTTAAAATTTAGTCGAAATATTCTATTATATACAATATATTCGTCACTAAATGATATAATTTTATAATTATTTTATACTGAAGTCCATATTATAATAAAAATATTGCTAAATTATCTTAAAGTATCACCAAATCATTAATCAATATTAAATTACACTACATTAAGAAATGCATATACAATATTGCAACGATTGTAAGTTATTTTTTATTGAATTTTTTAAAAATTGTTAGACAATCATATAGTTGGTTTAAATCTGTTAGATTAGGATATTATAATAATTTCTCAACAAAATTAGTACCATCATATTGCTGAAATCTTCATTCATTTTATTATTCTTACGATTTTTTTTTACTCACTTTTTTCGAAGTCGGGGTTGAATTTACAAAAATAATTTTAATGCTTATTACATATCTGTCATGTATTGCAAATAAAACATAACGCGATTAACCGTAATTAAACTAAAAAGTTTTGTATAAATAATATTTTGAATGTAAAAAATTAATAAATAACCTTTTAAATATATAGAGACACAACTAATTATGTCTAACAATAATTACGAACAATACGAAAGCTTTTACATTAAGCGTGGTAAACTTATAACCTGATTTGTTATTCATATAAAACAGTAAACGTATCGATCGACATCAAAATTATTCTCACAAAATTAGCCGCTCATTGATATCCATTATACAATAAATCGATAATATAATCTTGCTGTATTTGAATCTGAAATCGTAAGCTTGCGTTCTAGAATATGTTTTAAATTTATTATATAATAAATGCTGTTTTCAGTAGCCAAATATATATTTTTTATATATGTACAAATATACATTATGAGGTTGAATGTAACGAATTTTACTATAAAGCACACATTTTTATAGGTAATCGCAGGTTATATGAGTAAATAGACAAATTTTCATTTTAAGTAAAATTATATTATATATACTTCACTATTAATGACATATTATCTCTTTATAAATAATCCAACTATCAGAATTTAATGTTAGAAACTTGTTATATTTCTAAGCCAGTTTAATTACTTTTTTACAAAAGGTATAATTTGAATTAATATTTTCATATATCTATTTAAAATTATAATATTTATTTTACACTTTAACATTTATTTAATTCATAAATTTTAATGTTATTTATGTATACTTATTATA